GTTGCCAGAAATCTTAAATTTGTAAAAAAACACAGTTATCTATGACATTCAATAAAGTCAAGTGCGATAAAATAAGGTATGCTTGTATTTTAAATTTCTTTTGGTTGTGGAATTGTGTTTCTTTGACTGCAACACAAGACTGGGCCGAGAAGAGCTCTTGATTTATGCAGGATATAGTAGAATAAACTTTATAGCAGGTACTCTTAATGTGGGACTCATGGGAGGACTTTAGGTTGTTTATAAATCCTCATAATTGTATGCAATTTTTGTGGCCATGTGTACATATATATTCTGAAATGATGAGAACCTTCATGCTCATAGTCTTTATCAGATTCTTTTTTTTTTAAAGATTTATTTATTTGAGAGACAGTGTGTGAGATCGGGGCGGGGAGGGGCAGAGAGACTCTCAAGCAGACTCCCGGCTGAGCGTGGAGCCCAACTTGGGGCTCCATCTCACGACCCTGAGATCACGACCTAAGCAGAATCAAGAGTCCAATGCTTAACTATCTGCACCACCCAGGCACCCCAGCTTTTATTTAGATTCTTAAAGAGTTCATGATTCTTCTTAAAAATATGAACAGACTGCCACTGGGGAGAGAGAAGACATCCTCTCAGAGTAAAAGACCACGTTAAAAAAAAAAAAAAGTAACTACAGGAGATACCTGATTTCTAATTGTACTGCAAAAGCTTAAGAGGTTAGTCTGGATCCATTTATTTTGCCAGAGATACCAACATCTTCCTTCCCTCCCCTTAAATTCCTCTCCTGATTTCCTTGGTATTTGAAAATACATTCAGTGGTTTTTTTGTTTGTTGGTTTGTTTTTGTTTTAAAGACAGTACTCCATGAGTGTGCTAAATAAATCGGGGGAAAGAACCACTGGCATTTTCAGGGACTCAAGAAAGGTGGGGGGAAATCAGAGTTCAACTCACAAGCAAATCACAGACATTTACGATAGTTGGAGCAAGGCATCGTGAGAAGCCCTGAAACAAGGGAAAAAAGCACAGCAAACAGCAGTGAGAGTCTTAGGGTCATCGGACTGCTCACCTGTCCCGTCGAGGTACACGGAAAGGCATTTGCAGCAATTACTCTCCTACTAAAGGCATTAATGCATCACGCTGGTCTCCAAAGCCTTCATGCAACGCATCACAGCTCAGACATCCAGTTCTATGAGCTGGATAAACATTTCAATTCTGGAGGGCACAGAGTGCCAAAGGGAGGACTGAGGACCCTGAAAACCTGCCATTGCTTTGCTAAGTTTGTTCAAACCACCTACTCAGGTGTTTTATGCGAACCCGAATGGGAGACACAGAGCAGCTCCCAAGTCTTTGACACATGCCTTCCTCCTTCATCCGCCTCTTTCTTCCCAGAGGAGCAGCACCCACAAGAATGCACCGTGATCTTACTCAAGACCAAAAATTCAGCTCAGTGTCTTTGAAGAAGGCCATAGGCAAATCTTAGTCCCTGGGGCTCGGGGAGCCGGGTCCCGGGCATGCCGCGGGCATTCGTTAAATGCTTATTGAGTCAATGAGTAGCTAAATGAGTAATGAACAGACATCGTGCACCCTTTTCCCGTCACCGTGGGTCTGTAACTTTAGAGGTAGCCCCAGACGTGGGAGAGCAGCAGTGGGGAAACTAGCACGCCCCCCTCCAATATGCCCTTACCCCTTTCCCATAGCAGCAGCCACTTCCTCAGAGGAGCTGGAGCCTGGAAGGGGGATAAAGCTCTCCCTGGAGCTTTGACGAAGACAGCAGGAGGTACTGCCTCATGAAGGCACCTACCAAGGAAGTCTGGAGGGAAAAGGGTGTGGTAGACAGAAATCACGCTCCCCCCATCCCTGTCCAAAGATGGCCACATCCCAATCCTCAGCACCTGCGATGTGATGTCGCGTGCCAAGGGAGAATGAAGGTTGCATCTGAAATAAACGTTGCTGATCACTTGAGCCCAAGATGGGGAGATTTTCCTGGAACATCCAGGCGGGCCCAAAGTAATCACAAGGTCCTCAAAGGAAGAGTAGGGGCAGATGCAACAGCCAGAGGGATGCACGACAAGGATGTGACCAACTGTTGCTGACTCTGAAGGTGGAGGAAGGGCCCCGAGCCAAAGAATGTGGGCAACTTCTAACAAGCGTAAAAGGCAAGAAAATGGATGCTCTCCTAGAGACTACAGAAAGAAATACAGCTTGCCCACACTTCGATGTTAGCCCATGAAACCCGTCCTGGACCGCTGATCTCCAGAGCTGTAAGATAGTAAATTTACGTTGTTTTACACTCCTAAGCCCGTGGTGGCTTGTTTGTAGCGGCCTCATGACACAGCGGGTCAGTGACGGGCAGGGAAGGACAGGAAGGTGGGAAGACTGGTTTTGTCCTTACGAGCCAATGGACCTTCGGGAATTTATTTCATGGCTTTGAGGCTTCGGTCTTCTCATCGCAGAGGGGGTTAAAACTAGCAACCTCATCAGACTACTTCCAATGCGAAATGAGATCACATGTTTGAATGGCCCAGCTCCTGGCTTGCACACTACGGGTGCTCATGATTTCTGATCCCCACCGCCTTCTCCTCTACCCTTGACAGGGCAGGGATCGCAGAAGAAGAGAAAAAAGGGAAACATCAAATGAATGGAGACAAAGGGGTCTAGGATGGGGAATCCACGCCGCCCACTGCTGCCTGGGGTGCGGGACGCCAGTTCTGTGGTCTCCCGAGGATTTCATAAAATGAGGGTTTGAAGGGCTCTATCATTTGTTTTGTCAGAAAGAGGGGGAAGTGTGAAGAATAGGAGACATTTGGGGTGGAACAGGAGAGGGGGAGGAGGAAAATAAAAGGAACATAGGGTGGGACCCAGACTAGAAGACATGGCTGGGATTTCCCCAGTATGGGGACTGCACCTCTGCTCAGAAATGAATGGAAGTTCAAAACCAAAGGGTGGTTCCTCTTTCTTTTCTGTTCCTGTTCCTACACAATCCTTCCCTTCAGTCTATGCACGTAGTAGACCATATTCACACACGTGCATCAATGAGCTTATTGAAGGTAGAGCATGTGTTCCGGGATGGCAAGGGAAGAGGGGGGCACACATTTATTTATGTCAAATTTCAAAGGCTACAATGGACCTCTGAAAAGCACCGGCGAAATGTTCTCTTGGGAATAATAACCGAAAACTAGTTAAATCCTATTATGTCTCTGGATCTGTCATTCCTTATTCCTTTTTCTGAGGTGATATGGGAGATTATCTATCTATCTATCTATCTATCTATCTATCTATCTATCTATCTATCTATCATCTATCTATCCATCCATCCATCCATCCATCCATCCATCCATTATCTATCTATCATCTACCTATCATCTATCTATCATCACCGTCATCTATCTCACAATGTAGGCAAGATCTCTGCCATAAATGGCAATGTTATATTCTGTAGGGTGATGCTCAAGGTACTAGGAGAAGGGTATGGATACTGGAAAATGCAAACTTCTAAGTTTTAATGAAACAACTTACTCCCTTTTCGACTTTGCAGCCAATGTAGATTTTGTGACAACAGAGCTGTAAATGCACTGGGTTAATTTCAAAAGAGAACATCCAAATTGTAATAAAAATCATGGCTAGGGTTTGGATGTACTTTGTGTTCAAATATTTTTTTATTAAATTTTGTGATATTGCACAAACTTTGAGTAGGTCATTTTGTGGTTGGGGCAAATCTATTTCTATTAACACATTTTAAGTTTGAAGAAATAAGTTGATTTTAACCCATCTTTTCAGCTTATTAAATTATTTTGCGGAAGTCACCAGAAGAAACTCACAAACTATTGTTCCTTTTAAAGGAATATTTATAAATTGCAAAAGGACTTGCCGTGTAATACATCTAGCTTCAAATTACAGCAACAAGTTGATTTCCTTGTCTTCTTTTTAAAACCAACCTAAAATTGAGTTAGTAGCACATAAAGACATTAGCTATTGAGATTTTTTCAATGCTTTTAAAAGGAAAAAGTAAAGTCTTCTAAAGTGACCATGATACGTTTAAGTAAATATTTTCCCCAAAGTTCCCTGTAAAATTGAACTTGGGAAGACACGGGTAAACACACAGGCATGCTGCAGTATTTTAGAAAGTAATTTACCATTTCCTCTGATTTTTGGAAAGCCCTGCATGTAAAATATACAAAATCTGCTGCAACTTCTCACAATACCATTTCTTCCTAAGGGTTTCCCAAGTTGGGTAACCAGCAGCGCGGATAAATCGGTTAATCCATGGGCTCAGAGATCTTGGGGGAAAATAGTCACTGCTGCTTTTCTCCTCTGCCCTTTGCCCCAACTGTCCCCAAACGGCTTTACAACTGAGTTTACAGATCAAAAGACTTCTTCTACAAATACTCGCAAACTTCCGTTGGAATATGCAGAGATTTTCGGAAAAGTCAACATTTACTTAGTGCAAGGAGCCTGAAGTCTGAGCTAGCAGAGCGATCAGCAGGTTTATCTAACCCAGAAAAACAACTCAAGTAGCTGAATTATACAGGTATTCACCTTTGTCCCCCCAAGGAGCTTTGCTGGCGGCAGTCAAAACCAAAGTGGGAACTTAATAAAAATGAAAATTGTGGTAGCAAAATACACTTACAAGGTTAATTTGACATACTGCAAAAAACTGGGGAGGTTAAAGTGGTTTCTATGTAACCACAGTCCTGATTTAGAAAAACCCCAGAGAAACAGCTGTACTATGATATATAACCGGCCTTGCCTGCATAGGAAACCCCAGCTTTTCAGGGTGTGTAGGTCTCGAGATGCTAGATTTTGGGGAAAACTGTACGCAGCTCTCATCGAGAAATAACGGGCTAATGAGACCTGTCGAAGTTTACGGTTACACATGAGGCAAACAAATATTTGCTCCAGAGATCACATCGTTCGTTTCTTGAACTACGGAGTGGAAGAGATGAGAAAAAGGGAGTCCATTCTGCTGACTCAGTCAATTCTGATGAAGAAAATCGCGTCCTCACCCGCATATTCTTTGCTTACCTGAGAATGTCTCCATTTCTGGCATATGGTCGCAACTGGTCGCGGCAGGCCTGGCAAGATGCCTTCCAGATGCTGGAAGATTAGCTCCTGCACAGCCTCGGTGCTGTGCTCCAAGTGGCTGACTCCAAACGGGACAGTGGTGTGAACCACAAGGGAAGGCCCGATTTCGGACGACTCTGGTGTGATGAGGAACACAAGCACACATCCTGAAGCAGGTTAGAGCGAAGCATCTGCCAACATTTCAAGCCAGCTTTAAGAAGGAATCACAATAACCAGACAATAAATAGAGGGCAAACGGACTCTAATCTTGGACCACCCAATTAGGCTAACTCTGAAATTCAAAATCAAGCTTCTCTGAAGAGGAGGACAGAGTCACAGTGTATTTCGGAGAACAAGTCTTTAGCTCTCGCTAAAGAACTAGAAGGAAGGGGAAGAAGAACACCTAGGAATTTCTGCCTTGGGTAAAATCCAATTGATTTGTGTGTTCATCTTCTCTCATCCACTAAATTATAAGTTCTCCAGGGCAGGAGCTGTTTCTTATATATAGCTTATACTCTCCTTAAATTCTGGGAACAAAGTAGATGTTCAGTAAACACTGACTCATTTTTTGTTAAACGGATTGCAAAATATTTTGTTGAAATTATATTAATGCCAGAATAAAATATCTTTACCACGTTCAAAAAAAAAATCAAGCTTCTCTCTAAAAATGGGCTTGACTTCTCTCTCTCTCATTCTCTCTCTCAAATAAATAAATACAATCTTTAAAAAAATAAAAAAAAATGGGCTTGACTTCATAATATTCTTTATCTTTGAAGCAGCATTAAGAGTGATTCATCACATGGAACTACTTTCCATTTTTGTTTGCCATTGAGGTTTTTTGTTTTTGTTTTTGCTGTATTTTCACAATTTCAAATAATGCACGTCAGCTTTGTACCTTTCACTCTTTCGTGGAATACAGGAAATCAGATGAAGTTTTAAGTTGAAAGCAAAGTGACCGAGGCATTACAAAACACAGTGTTGGCAGGAATGTTAAGAGTTTGCCTGTTATTACAATTTCAAATCATGTAGAAGGGAAAGTTGAGGGAAAACAATCATAGATCTAAAATGCATGAAATAGGGACGCCTGGGTGGCTCAGTTGGTTAAGTGTCTGCCTTGGGCTCAGGTCATGATCCCAGGGTCCTGGGTTCGAGCCCCTCGTCGGGCTCCCTGCTCAGTGGGGAGTCAGCGTCTCCCTTACCCCTCCCCCCTGCTCATGATCTCTCTCTCTAATAAATAAATAAATAAAATCTTAAAAACAAATTAAATGCATGACATAATAAGACGGTTGGTGCTTTCCCCCACCTTACTGAAAGAAGAGAATATTGAAGTACATAAGGTCCTGACAGGGGTTGGCAAGCCTGATTCTGGAAATTCTAATTTTGGACTGTCAAGCGTAAGACAATGATCTATTTGGGGCAGGTTTGTTTGAACAGTTTTACAAAAAAAAAAAAACCCGTGGCACAACGTTGAGCCACTTACTTGCTATATGTCCACCTGCCCTCTTTCCATTTTGGCGTTTTTGTTTTGTTTCGTTTTCTCTAACATCAGAATCTTAGTACCTTATCCCTCAGGTCTGTGGTGGGGATTATAGAACCTGATGCCCGCGAAGCGCTTGGCACAATTTCTGGCACCAAGCCGGGCTGCATCAATGTGAGCTATGAAAACAGAAGCAATACACCAGATATAGACCAAAAAAAAGGTCCCGCGGTGTTGCCCACATGACACGGTGTAAGGTCCGTAGAGCATGTGACTCTCGACCTCGGGGGCTGTAAGTTCGAGCCCCACATCGGGTATAGAGATTACTTCAAAATAAAATCTTAAAAAAAAAAAAAAATCTTGTCGCCTACCTCGCCCCAGGGAGTGTTCTTTTGGTTCCCAGTTAATAGATTAAGGTAGGCTTGCTCCCAACAAGGGGATGTCAACCCCACCCCCCTTCCGTTAGGTACCAAATCTTCCCAAAGACAGGGAAAGCTACTGGGTCGACCTTCTGAAGCATAGAGTTGGGTTCTGAGCTGGCTTATCAATGGCAGGCTTCCAAGGAAAGTGAATGCTCGCCACATGCTGAGAATCTGAAGGTGGCACTGACCCAGCCATTTGCTCGCCCGGGGCCGGGGTGGGGGGTGGGGAGGGTGCGGTGGTGGCTCGTAACATTACTGAGGGTAGTGATGGTGCCTCGCCAGCTCTCTCCCTTTACGTTAGCCATCCACTCCAAGAAGAACAGTAAAAAAAGGAAATTTAAGACCCCAAATGAAACCGTTCTCACATGACAATGAGAGAACAACCTGGCTGCTTGTTTTTATTGGAATCAGACAAAAATTTTCCAGAATTTAGATTAAAATTTGAATCGCTGCAACCCGAAACCATGAGTTTTAAGGAAAAGCTCCCTCTGCCCCCCCCCCCCGCCAAATTAAAGGGTATTTTTAGAAGCTAACGTCCAAAAATACAAACAGCCAACCCGACTTTAAACGTGACTCAGGTTTGGAAATAGAGCACGGTAAAGAGCCACAAATGTGTTAACAGGATTCAGAGCATCGAGTCAGTATAATCAGTATTCTTTGGTCACTGGGAAGGTAGTAATAATGTCATCTTTCTTCTTCTCTTCTTTATTCAGTTTAACAAGTCCAGCACTTAGCTTTTGGCATATCAAATGGAAGTTCACGGTAAGTCGACAACTATTTCTGTGCACTGGGAGATCAGGAGCTTTAGTCGGAAGGTAAGTACTTGAACCTGGGCATCCTCACAGCCCAGTGGTCCTGGACAACTTAGTCTCTCGGGCCTCCCCTTCGTACATCAATTAAAAGGGACCAGGACTACTTCCCTTATAAGCCTGTCACAAGGATTAATGGGTTAGGACACATAAAAATCTTTCTTCAAACATGAAGTGCTACACAAATGTAACGCATCCCCAGATAATATTCTCGCTTTGACCTCTACGCCATAGCAAGAGCAGCTTTGGAAAGGGATAACAGAGTTGGCTTCTCTCCAAGTATTAAGATTGATTATTATATCAACACCCCAGGAACAGTGGCAGACTATTCCTGGACACAGACACAGCAGTTTTTACATGTTTTTTTAATTATTGTAGTAAAACAGACATAATCTAAAATTTACCACTTTAACCTGTTTTAAGTATACAGTAGTAGTAGTCTCGCATGTAGTACACCCACACTGTCCTGTAACCGTCACTGCCATCCGTATCCAGAGCTTTTTAAACTCTCCACATAGACTCTATACCCATGAAACCCTGACCCCCTCCATCCCCGTTCCCCCCTCCAGCCTCTGTCAACCACCATTCTATTTCTCTCTCTGATTCTCACTACTTTAGGTGCCCCACAGAAATGGAATAATATGATATTTGTCCTTTTATGACTGGCTTATTTCATTTAGCATGCTGTCTTTAAGGTTCATCCATGTTGTAGCAGGTGTCCGAACCCCCTTCCTCTTTAAGACCGCATAATATTCCATTGTGTGGATGGACCACGTTTTGTGTATGCATTCCTCTGTCCATCCATTTATGCAGGCTTCCACCTGCTGGCTCTTGTGAATGATACTGCTATGAACATGGTGCAGCCATATCTATTTGAGGCCCTGCTTTCACTTCTTTTGGGTGTACGCCCAGACGTGGAATCGCTGGACCATATGGTAATGCCATGTTTAAATGTTTGAGGAATCACCGTATATCAGTTTCCCACAGTGACTGCACCATTTCCCTGTTCCCACCAGCAAGGTACAAAGGGTCTAATTTCTCTGCCTCCTCATCAACACTTGTTATTTTATTTTATTTTATTTTGTTATAATAGCCATTAGTCTACAGCTTTGAGTGGGGTCAAGGCGCTAGGAGTTAGTAACAACAGCAGAAGCCCCAGTGTCAGAGGTGGGGCAGAATTTCCTTCCATGGCTGATAGAACACTGAGCTCGAGAAGGCTCTCGAGTGAAATACTTACAAAACTGTCCCTTGTCCTCCAAACAGAAACTGAAATTTGTCTTGAAATGAAGGACATTAGCTGCCTCAGATCCATGGTCATATCAGCCATAAAAATAACCACTAACAGGTTAAAACATGCTTAAAGGGGATGCTTGGGTGGCTCAGTCAGTTAAGTGTCTGCCTTCGGCTCAGGTCATGATCCCAGGGTCCTGGGATCGAGTCCCACATCGGGCTCCCTGCTCAGCGGGGAGCCTGCTTCTCCCTCTGCTTCTCCCCCTGCTTGTGCTTGCTCTCTCTCTCTCTCTCTCTCTCTCTCTCTCTGACAAATAAATAAATAAAATTAAAAAAACAATGCTTAAAGACACGATGCTACTTATAATAAAATACATTTGTTTAAAGATTTTATTTATTTATTTAGAGAGAGAAAGCATGAGTGGCGGGGAGGGGCAGAGGGAGAGAGAGTCTCAGCCAAGATCCACATCCAGCACAGAGACTGACGCTCGATCCCACGACCCTGAGATCATGACCTTAGCTGAAATCAAATCAGACGCTTACTAGACTGAGCCACTCAGGTGCCCCAATAAAATACATTTTTAACACAAATCCTAACTCAGTTGTGTTGCTCGAAAGAATGGGATCTGTATGATATTTTAAGATCTCTGGAATGGCTTCATACATAGTCAGTTTTCGTAAGTGTTACCTGTGTGCTTGAGTAGAATTAAATTTAGTTGTTGAATTAAATTTTAATAAGTCCATTAGGACAATCTTATCAATTGTGTGGTTCTAATCAGCTAAATTCTTACGAACTGTCTGCTTGATCAATTACTGAAAGAGGTATATTAAAAATCTGTCCTGAATATGGTAAAATTTTCCAATTTCTCCTTTAAGTCCCGACAATGTTTACTTTATACTGAAGTTTATGCCAGTTTCCGTCTATTTCCTGATACCTTTTAACAATACGCTGTGAACATCTTTATATACATTTAGAAATGCCTTGAAGTTTATTTTCTGTTTTTTATTTTTCCACTTTTCCAACATTTCTTTGTTTCTTTTTAAAATTAAAAAAAAAATTGCCTTCTTTTTGTTTAAACCACTTTTGCCCCTTATTTCATTTTTCCTCTTTACTAGCTTGGACGTTATATACTTGGTTTCTGTTTTTAGGGATTACCCATAGACTTAAGCATCCAAATTAAAGTCAAAAGTTAGTATGT